GAAGGAGAGTCCGTGGATTCCTTCCTACAGCCGTCAGGATCCCTCTCACACCCACATCCACAACCCTTATCTCCGCTCCCAGTGGACAGCACAGCCTTCTGTTCTCCACATCAGCTCTTGCCCTAGGCCTCTCCGTTCTTCTTAGCAGGCAGCCCCCCTTACAGAGACTTGCCTCTTCGGGGGCTTGGTGTGAATCTCTGGCCATCCTCCTCCTGTTCCTTCAGGCTACAAGTCCTCTGCTCTCTTTGTTCTTCCTTGGAACCTTTTAGAGTGAGCCTAGAACCTCCTGGGTGCCGAACTCTGGCTCTCCCCATGGTCTTCTCCCATCTTCTAGGACTGGCTGCTCTTCTCTTCTTCCTTATGCTGCACCTTTTGTTGCTGCCTGCTGGGCCCCTTCTTCATCTCCCAACTCAGCAAGCCTGTTCCTGAGCTCCCTTACTCCTTCGCTGGCCACTCTTGTCCTCTGACTGGTTTTTCCAGTCACATGCTTCCACTATCCGCGTTCCCCATCCAGCAATCTCCCCTCGCAGCTCTCACTCCACAGTCTCCAGAGGCAACTCCAGCCCCTGTAACTTAACTTCTCTTCCATCAGCTCCATAGGGCAGCATTTCACACACACAAAGCTCTTCTCAGGTCCCTGTTCCAGGGTCACGCCCATCATGCAGCTTCCACATCCAGTTATCTTCATTGTTTCTTCCATTCTGCAGGTCCCACAACCACTACTACCTGCGTATCAGTCACAGCCTTCCCCCAAGCTCCTGTTAAGAGCAAAACCAACCCATGCACAACATACGCACCCTCCTCTCCAAACTTCCCATACACTTTCCTCTCAAACTCCCGTTTCCAGCCCTGCTGGCTGGCTGGCGGGCGGCTTTTTAGGCCCCTCAACAAGGAATTCCCACCTTTAATCATGCCTCTGAGGTGAACAAAGACTCTGCCAGCCTTTCCTGATGAAAGAGGAGCCAGATCTGCTGCTCAACAAGTTTACAAATGCATACAAAAAAACAGAGATCCTTGTAATCCTGTAGCTATTTATTTTTGCTGTCTTTGTTTTTTCCTCACTACTGCGGTACAGCGTGCTAATTATTAAGGATGCAGCAAAGTAGACAGAGAATTTAAGGCATCACTCCATTGCACTTTTCAAATGAGTGCAGTGAAATAACGTCTCATACAAATCTTCAATGTTTCTGCAGACTCTTTGCTGATCTTCACACAATTCTCCCTCCTTAGGTTCTGGTTACATTTTCCTGCAGGTTAATTATTAAGTTTGCCTGTTTCTATTAAAAAACAGCTCACACGCACAACCTATGTATTTCTTACATTGAAAACCCTGCGGCATCTCTGATTGCCCCCCTCTTGGAAACTGTCATTTGACGAGTATGTTTAGCAGCCCAAGTGAAAGACTGGGCTCAATCAGATTGCCAACATGTGCGAACGCATCGTCCCCCTCAGACACAGAGGCTCTCAGAACGGGCTATGCACCCTGGCGCAGAATTCATGCTTCCAATCTCTGGCACCAGTTCCCTCTCCTGCATCCCAGGCCTGTCTTGGCCCAAGTCTACACTAGACCCAAAGGTCGGGTTAAGGTACAGAACTCCAGCTACGTAAAATACATAGCTGGAGTCATCTTCCCTTAAGCCAAGCTTGGTGCCATCTTCACAGAGGGAGGCTGATGGGAGCCAACGTTCTCATCAGCTTCCCTTACTTCTCGCAACTGCCAGGAGTACCAGTGCCGACCAGAAGCACCCAGAGCATTTGATCTAGTGGGTCTTAACTAGACCCACTAAATCAAATGCCAGAACATTGATCTCCGGTGCAGCAAGTGGAGATGTGGACTTGGACTTGGCAGAGTAGTCACAGGCAAGGTTGAGGAAGCCAATCAGATGAGGAAACCCTGCCCAACCTTGCAGAGCAGCGTGGCCCAAGGAACTAGAGGCTGTAGTAATGGGCACGGCTTCCCCTTCTGCTCTTTACACTCCCCTCCATTGGGAGCCACCCCAAGCAACACGGCTCATGCAAGCACAATAACCACCATTTTGTTCGATGCCAGGGATCTCCACAGCCCCACCCCTCTTGCCCAATGGGCTAGACAAGTATAGTAAATAGCTCTACCAGGTGAGCAAAGCAAAATGTAGATCATTGTGCAGCCTCCCTGTATCATATTAGCACCCATTTTTCTCTTTCACCTGCATGCAGGCGTGATGTGACAGTCTGCATCTTTTTATGGCATCTCCATCTGGTTTTGTCGCTTTTATTCCCATATTGCTCTCCCGGAAAGGAGCACTGTAAAGCAGTATGACGGTGCCTATGTAATCATCTAATACTATAAGTTATTGCTGTAGATTTGCACAGAGTGACACGCTTAACAGTTATCTATACTGGGGCTTCAAGTATTTTGTAGCAGCTAACAAACAAAACTAGACTCTATGATCTACTAATTACCTTATCTTGTTCTTCGGTTGCTAAAAATCCATACGCTATGTTTTGCAAATTACTGAATTCAGCATTTCTAGAAGAAAAAAAAGAGGAAAAAAAAATTAGGCTCATTTACACTTACCTCTGAGGACTTATTACACAAACATGAAAATGTTTTTCTGAGACATGTTCACAACTTACAGCAATGAACACATATTTCTGGGATATATAGATCAGGATTATTCATGACTATAAGAATTTTCAATGTGAATATTTATAGAGCATAGCTTTTTTTTTTTTTTAAACAAAAAACCAAAAATGGGGCACACCTCCTCCAAATTAAAGCAAATACTGACACCTCTCAGTGACAATTAGAAAGAAACAACCAGAAAAGAACGCCGGCAAACAAAGGGCTATGTACCTGTTACACACCAGAAACATTTTGTGTTTATATAATTCTAGGGGGCAAGCCTGCTTCCGCTTTGACTCAAATATTTCATTCAAAAAGTGCAGTAACAAGTCCTTATGCCTCAGTTTTCTTTCGCTAGTTCACAGCTAGTCCACTTGCACTGATAGTTCATTTCTCTAATGTGCAGAGGAGGGGACAATGACTTATTTATGTAGTGCAGGTCAAAAAGAAATTAAAAGCTGTTAGTGCCAGGAAGGTGGAGTTCAATGCTAAGTAACAGGGACGTAAGCAACTAATGACTAGCTTGAGTCCCCGCTCGCCCCGTGTTCCCCGCTGCGGGTCTGCCTTTGGAAACTAGTAGGAGCCACGAGCGGCTCTTACTACGTTTAAAAGGCAGAGGCGCAGCCGGGATAGCAAGCATGCCACCTCCCCCTTATCAACTAATTGAAATTCAACACCCCTACTAAATAAGTCCAGCCATTACCAAGGAAACCGCAAAACCAGCAGTTCTCTAACTCTTTCATCATATGGACTGTTTCACTGGGAGGAGATTTCGTCTGAGTCAGCAGATGCATCTCAAGAAATTTCGTTCTACAAAGTGGGGTTTGCAAACTAGAGGTGGTCCAAGTAGATATGGAATAGGGTTTCCTGAGGCCTAGGCCTGAGCAAGTGGAGCTACCCTCTTCCACCTGTGGCTCTGCCCATTCCCGTGTAACTCCACCAATGGCCCCACCCCTTTCTGCCCCCTTCTTGGGGCCTTGCTCTGGTCCCACCCAGGGTCTCCCCCCCATTATGTATCCCCACTGCAGTCCCAAGGCCAGAGAAGTCTCTCTCTCCGCCACAGCCCCAGGCCACAGTGGGGAGTGAGGGTGCCCCAGCCCTGAGACCATGACAGATAGCAATAGCTCCTCCAGCCCTGTGGCTTCCCTGCTGCCCCTGGAGACAGGATCGGGGGGAGGGAGACATGCTGGAAGCTTCTCTTGTGGCCAGCCTGCTTCTGCCAGGGTTAGAGGGTGTATGGGGGATTTCCCCTGCCCAGTGCTGCTGGGGAGCGTTTCCCCCATCTCGTCGCCCAGAAGCATGGTTGGGGAGCACGGGGATTTCCCCCTACACAGCTGCTAGGGCACAGGGGGTGTTTTACCCACTGCCAACCTGCCCCGCCCAGAACTGGTGAGCAGGAATTGGTTCGGGGCTTTTCCCTGGGCCCGATGGCTAATCCATTAGTGGGTCCAAGGACAATGGGGTCAGAGCTATCAACCTCTGGTGGAAACCTAGCCCCACAGACTCCCCCGAGTCAAGATTTCACTCCTGAAGTGAGGCATGTCCAAAAATTAGAGGCTCTTTTCCTTTGAAGCGAGGGCCAATGAGCCTGATTCTGAATCACGTTATCTGTCCACAGAGGACCATAAGCTAGCTGAGCTTAGGGAACCTTTATTAAGGCCAGATGATCATTTACTAATCAACCACCTAGGTGAGTCAGTTGTCACCATATGGGGCCTTCCAAAGGCCATCACGGGCAGACTGAGCCCTCACTCCCCATCCAGGGCAGATTGACATTAACCATCAAGCTGCCATTTTTGAAAAAATTTGTCCACAGCCTGTGTGACTAGGAACAATGAGAGCAGAACTTTGCACGAGGCCTGGCCTTGCTGTGTTCATCCAGCGAGGGGCCAACATGAGACACGTAGCCATGGAAGAACGGTGGGCTCCGGCAGAAGGCAGGGGTAGCTGCCATGTTGCCCTGCCCATGAAAGAACCAGAGACTTAGCTGCTTCCGGTCTCGGAATTGGATTCCAAGTGAATGGTTTTGAGAAGGGAAATAGTCTTACGAGTGCAGAAACGACGATAAAACACACACACACACACACACACACACCCCTACCACCAGAGGAGCATCCAATATACTTTATTTCTAGAAAAAAGTGTGATTTGCTTAGACTACGGCAGTTATATATTGCAGCAGCCACTACACTATGCTTCAACAAACCACTGGAGAATAACTTTGCTCTGACGGCAGCGCTGTTGGGCAGAAACAATGGCTTGCCATAATAGTCTCAAGAAGTTAATATTAGTTTGCTTCCCAATTACCTTGCAACAATTTTTCAAATAAAATTCAAACAACAGGCTCTTAATTTCGTTTACAACCCCCTGGATTTCACGTTTCCCTGGATATAAAACTGCACAGGTAGCGCAAGACACAGTGGTTTATGGCTCTGTTGTGTCAGTTTTCTGTTCAGTGCAT